ACTGCTCTTTAGATGGCCAGATCCTGAAGATGAAACTCAAATACTTTGGCCACCTAATGAGAAGGAAGGACTCCCTGGAGAAGAGCCTAATGCTGGGAACAATAGATGGCAAAAGAAGAAGGGGACGGCAGAGAATGAGGTGGCTGGATGGAGTCACTGAGGCAGTCGGCATGAGCTTAGGTGGACTCTGGGGGATAGTGGAGAACAGGAAGGCCTGGAGGAATGTTGTCATGGGGTCGCAATGGGTCGGACATGATTTCGCGACTAACAACAACACAATCAGAATTTTGCAAAACTTAAGATTTGCATAATTTAATTAAATAGTAGTCATATCATGCCCCATGCTATTCCTGATTGTAAATGCAGCATCTGCTTTTGATTAAAAAAAACAAGTAAGGTAGACATATTTTTGGATTTCACTGAGCCTTCCTCTACATGATGATCACCAGAAGCGCTGGACCCCAGTTCCACCTTCCCCACCCAGCAGGGCCCAATCCACTAGAAATCATATTAAGCCCTCCTGCTCAGAACTTCTGTTTATACGAGTATGAATCAGAAAACTGGACTACAATTGGAGCAGGCAGAAAAGGACTAATTCGCCCTTTCTTGGAAGGCTGGCAAGTTATTTATATGCTTGACCCTGCCTTCCAGGAAGAGAGGGACTTGAACCTTTCCCACCTGCTCCATTTACTAGTTGATGTAGAACACTGGTTTTAAAGGAATACCTAGATATTTAGAGACCTGAATGCTGCTCTGAATACCTCATCCTGCATTACTGTGAAATCCAGACACACACATAGCTCTAGGGATGCTTAAGATGTAAGTAGCTGGTTCAGATTCCATTTGCAAATCAAAACCCAAGCACTGGACCCTGTCTGCTTGACTACATCCAGCTGGTGTGCTAATTTCTTCATTTTAATAGCATGGAAGGATATTCTTATAGTGAGGAATACATTCCCAGGAATAACAGCAGCATGCCAGGAGATGGAGCAAGCGTATGAAAAAGATGCCATGCTATCCATTTACGGAAGTCTGTTGTTCGGAATAGGCTTTCTATTCCCAGTCCATGCAAGCAGCTTGGGAAGGGCCTTAGGGAGGGAGACACATGTCAGGGAGTGGTAGCATTCTTGGAAAGGGGAACCAGAAGAGAGGGGCATACCGAAAAATCCACTAAATCGGCCCTTTCAGAATGAATCCATCTCGAACTCCCCTGGGCACATCAGGTTCCACTGGCCTGAGCAACTCAGGAATTATTGATTCTTGTTTGGTTTTGTAACTTTAGTGATCATTCTCTTCCAGTGCAGAACTTGAGTGCACCCATAAAAATCAGCTGGAAGCTGAGACAGACACACACACAAGCAAGGCTATCAGCATATTCTGGAGAATCCCAGGAATGCAGAATATCTGTTAAAGAAAGAAGAGGGAAAGGATCCCCACTCACTGGAAAAACTCATGCTCAGTGGCTGCCAGACTGTTCAGGGTGTATGCTGAAGAACAGAGAGAAGAGGAAAGGAGATGAGTATTGTGAAACTGTGGATTGGGCCTTGGGTGTAACTGCCATGAGGCTACAAGGCCCCCTTCCATGAACCACACATAGGACTTTCAGGAAAGAAAGGGGGCAGGAAAGTATCATTGTGACTCTTGAGAACCCTCCCCACTCACCATATATTCTACTTTAAAACCATTATACATCCCCCTTCAATCAAAAGGCTCCCAAGCATGGCTTACAGATCAATTAAAATCCCTTCCCTCTGCTGTATAATCCAAAACCATGAGACAGAAAAAGAGAGATTAGAGATGGCCATGGCCCAGCAACAAAGCACTGTTCAAGTTCCTGGGTTCAACCCCCAGGACAGCTCGAGAAAGCCCTGCCTAAAAAGAGACTCTGCCAGTCACTGCAGACTACACTGGGCTAGATGGACCCAGGGCCTGTCTCTGCCTAAGGCAGCTTCCAGTGTTTCTGTGAAATGGAGAGTGCAGAGAAAAAGAAATCCAACTCATACACCAAGTTTTTAATGTTATGATTACAGCAAGAAGTACTGAAGTTTAATTCTGCCATTGGATGACTCTTTCATGGTGGTTGGAAAAGTTTCCTGTCCTGAAACCTCCCTTGCATACTGTGCCAAACAGCTTCCCCAGACAGGAACCCACTAGATGTGTTGAACTATAACTCCCATAGTCATTCTGGCTGGGGAGATGGGATTTGCAATCCAACACAATGGAGGGAGCCAGGATGGGGAAGGTTGACTCAGCTGGTGAGAGGAGGAGAGGTCCAGATGGGTCCCTCCTTTTCCTCCAACATGAAATCATCAGCATCAAAGGTGACGATACTAAGCAACTGTTTGGCAAAAGAGAGAGCACCATGCAGCGCTCTGCCTTGGCATAACAGCTGAATTGCCTCCTGGACTGACACAGATTTCCAGGTACAGGCTGAGAAAGCAGCAAGGAAGAAATTTTCACTTTCATTAGAATCAAATTAGTCCCATCAAGGACAGACTGTGTTTGCAGACAAAACATCATTTCCCATAATCACTTTGGACCAAAACAAGGTTTAGGATGTTTACACCTAATGAGGGGGAAAGAAGTGCAGCAACTGCTGCTGTTTCTAGCCTCACCTTCCCACGGCAGATCTGCAACAAACTGAGAGCATTTGAAATGGTGTACCTCCTCATGGTGGAGTCTTTGATGGCAGGGACGTAAAGAAGTTCAAAGTATATGCCTCGTTCTATTGCCTTCACATGAAAGAAAGAGAATCATCTTTAGCTGAAGGGAGTGAGACAGCCACAGCACACAGCTATTGTTTATTATTGATGTGTTTTCCTCTCTTGCCTCCACTGTAAAACAGAGCAGCCCATGGAATCAACTCACTCTTCCAGAGAAACAGACTCCTTCCCTTCGACTAGATGTAAAAAGGCCCTGTATACCACACTGGATGCCTTTGGATTTCCGGGTTCTGAGCAGCAACCTCAAATTCCACAGATGTGCAAATGAAACATATTTTTCCCTTTTCTCCTTTAAAGCAGAAGAAAAGCAGACTCTGGATTCTGGCAAGATGTATAGGCCACATCAGTACTGCAGCTTGACTCAACTGCTTCACACTCAAAGCCAAACGGCATGTTATGCTTAATGCAGCAAAGGGTGTGCTTATTCTTTACTCTCATGTAAGCAAGAATGCACTCACTTTGGATTGGGATCACTGTGCTCTAGGAGGAGAGAACTACGCTCCCACTTTCCTCTCAGAAATACTCCCATTTGAACCTATGGAGACTTCTTCCCTTTGCTAACCCCCTCCCAGCCTCTGCAATCTGAAGGAGGATTTGGTGAAGCAATCTGTGAATGGAAGTGACGGTTTACTCCTGCCTTGCCAGCGCACAATGATCCAGATTGGAATTTGACCCACAGCAGGGTAAAGAAAAAGCAAGCCTGTAGCCAGGATGTGATGGGATTTGCATAGTGTGTAATTTGCTTTTCACTGGGGAGGACTTTGTTGAAAACACTGTAAGACAGCTACTGTGGGTACTGGGGCCAGGGAGCATCTTCTCCAAAAAAAAAAAAAAAAAAAGCAGGTGGAGCCAGGGCCATGGAAGAGGGGCACACCCATGTGGGTTACAAGTCACCCTGAAGCACAAACAGGGCAAGAACTAGGCTGCTCCTGTTCTTAGCAATTATTTCAGTGAGGCAGGGCAGCCAGCCTAGAGGCTTAGCTACTGATTCAGATCCCTCACCTCTGAGCCAAGCTCTGAGGAGAACCAGGCCCAAGATTGCTCTTTACAAGCCAGCCAAACAAGTTTCCACTCTACTGTTCCCACCCATTATCAAAGTGAGAATGCAGGAAAAAGGGCTACTATACTTCAACCACAATTTCATACCAGCACAGGACTGGTTCTAGCTGGACATAGTTTTCAACAACTCTCCTTTAAGCTGGTGCACTGCAAATGTGTTGGATTGCAACTGCCGTCACATCTAGCTAGCACAATCAATCTGGCTGGGGCTAATGGGAGCTGTAGCCCAACACATAACTGGAAAGGGTCATGTTGAGGAAGTCTGACACAGAGGTACGTAAAGCATAAAAAAACCCTAGATGAAGCTAAAGTTGATGACAGGGAGGAAGAAACAGAAGCAAAAAAAAGCAAAATAAAACAAAAAGTCAGGACAGTGTAGCAAATTTTCAGGCTGTCTTACCACATTAACAGATGGTCTCTTGATGTAGAAGGGCAGCTTTTCAGTTACATTGATGCACACAAGGTCTACGTCCAAGGTTGTGCAAGCCACCTGCATTACAGATTAGGAAAAACATCAGAAATGTATGTATTTGAAAATGTGCATCTGTTGGAACCATGTTCCTATGCAAAAGCATGTACACCAGATGTTCTCTAGCCATGAGCTGCCTTGCAGCAAAACTGCTTACAAGACAGCCATTATCATTGGTGAAGCTCCTCATGTCTGAGGGCTGAGCTGTACTCTAAAGAGCTGGCGGTCCTGACCACTGAACAGCTTGAGGGCTGAATTCAGTTTCAGAGAAGGTCTACACAACTGTATCCTAATGATGGGCAGGGCAAAGGGGGTGAGTCCCCAGATGTCAGCCTATTTGTCCTCAGCAGATCTGAATGTGGTCAGGATGGTGAAGTCTGCAATTGATATTCATAGGGAAGAGCAAACCTTTTGAGTGACGGCAACCTAGAAAGAATGCAAAACTATTGCTTTCTCTCCTCAATTCATATTTGCCACCTTTAGGAGAGGCAGCAGCACCATCTGGTGGACAGAGTTTACGTTTAAGCATTTCTAATGAAAAAGGTCTTGGAGAATGATGCGTCACTCGAGGCAATATTCTTGGGTGTTAACATCAATGTGCGAAATGACAGTTTTACATCACTGTGGCAATGGTACCCCGAGGGGAACAGGGAAACAGTACAGAAGGAAATATTAATACAGAGGGAGATTTGCTCTCAATGCCATTTCTTTCACTGTGATTCCAAATCAATTTGCTTCTAGTAAATTCCAATTGACATGCTCTTGTATATATTAATATATATTTTTTATCTTTTCTAACTTACGTGAAAGAGTTTTCCATTCTTAGGAAAGACAGCAAAGATGTCATAAAATTTTATGTTTGAAGATGTTGTTCTCTAGATGCAGGGGGAAAAGCACAATATAAGAAACCATTATGAGCCTAACCAGATTAAAAGGAAGAAAGATTCTCGTGTATTCATGTTACCTGCTATGCCCAACAGTGGATGAACAGTTCTAAAGGCACTATTTTAACTTATTCTAATCACTACTGAAGCTGTGGCAGGAAACATGATATGTCAAACAATTCTGAGCCAAACTGGAACTGTTATGAGAATTTGCAAGATTTAAATCTTTCAAAATACATCTGGAGCATACAAATCTTGAGCCCATACAAGAGAAGCTTGAAAATATAAGTCTGCTAAATAAATAAATAAATAAATAAATAAATAAATAAATAAATAAATAAAACAGTTATATGATGAAGATTATTAAAGCACCATTAATTCAATAGGAAGATCCCATATTAGGAACCCTAATGTGTTTTCATCTAAAGTACATCTTAGAATTCGGACAGAAGTTGGAAATAGGTTGCTCAGAAATCATCTGGATGGAGGAAACACTAGCCTTACTTGAATGACACAAGTGGTAACTTTAGATCAAAAAAGTATATCTATCCAAAATATGTTTTTAGTGTAATTATATAGACTCTTGCAAGTTACAGTGTCTCACATTTGCTGAGTATTCAGTGGGGCAGCAAATCATAATCAGCTATAGCTCCACAATCCTTTTGTTCGGTGTAACTTCCTTGAAAGACCTGTGGAATTGAGACCCAGCACAGCATGGCAGATAAAGTACAGGATGGAGGGCTCAGGAGATCTGGGTTCTAGCCTCCACTCAGCCAGGGTGGTAGTTAAGAGTGTTAGACTGGGGATGCAGACCTGGATGCAGAATATCTGGGTTCAAGACCCCACTCAGCCATGAAGCTCACTTCATGGGATGGTCATGGACTCTTAGCCTAACCTAGCTCACAGAGTTGTTATAAAAGTGCAGAAGAACTGTGTAAGCCACCCTGGGCTCCTTGCAAGAGGGAAGAAGGCAGGGTATACTTGCAATTCAATCACAATACATTTAAGCTACCATCCCATCGTTTGCAGCAAACTTCAAGCATGCTAAATAATATACTTGCTTCTAAAATAAAGGATTTTAATGCTTGCACCAGCTCATATAATTGCATCAAGTTTTTAAAATACTGCATTATTAATAGACTAAGGATTTTAATGAGGAATGATGTTTCTGTAGAACTCTCTAAGAGCAACTCCACTCAGTGCAATGGCAAAAGGTCAGGATCTAGCCATGTGCAAGGCAGGAGTAAGGGAATAAGCAAAAATATCCAAACTTCTGCAGACAACTTCCATTTTAGCGGCCAACCAATCCTTCTACTATGTCTCTCACCAGCAGCCAGATAAGGCTGCTTCAGGGAGTTTAGTACAGCTCAGAGCTGAAATTTGCCCGGAGCAAGTAAATGACACTAAGTATGGAAGCTTTTGGGTTCTGTTTCCTTCAGACTGCCAGTATGTTCTTTGTGCCACAGAAGACAAACATATGGTCTAGCAGATGGATTAGTAAGATCCTTTCTTGTGGGCATCTGCGAGGGTGGCAGAGATGCTCCCTGACTGCCATCCACTACTAGCCTCTGACAATTTTGGAGTATCATCATGAAAACACATGAGTACTTTTATCTTCTGCAGATATGATTAGCTCTTTAAAGAGAGCAGCAACATAATGCAGTCTGGGCCATTCCCACTTCAGGTGGGAAAGAGTTCCACAGCTCTAGAAAATAAGGAACAACCTTCCAGTTGTCATCTACTGCTACAAACACAACAGATTCTAAAGCACCATGTCTCCCCTACAATGAAAAAACCTGTTTGTGAAGCACATTATAAACTTACTAGAATATTGCAGTGGGATGGATCAGAAACAACCAGGGTCAGCCGTGATAAAATCCTAATTGGCTTTGATTTCCCCTGGAAAGAAGAGACAATGAGGAAAGGAGTGAAGCAGAAACCAAGGCAACAGACCTCCTACATAAACATAAAACCAAGGAATGGTACTGTTTTCAAAAATGGTGCCTACACAAGCCCTCTTGTTAACACAGAAGCAAAGAGTATCTTGGCCCTTCTTTGATCCATAAGAGGTGCTGCCAATTAAGATCTATTTTGGTAGACAGAAAGATTATAGCTGTACTATTCACTTGCCCTCTAACAATTCAAGGATTTTTTTTCCTTTTCACTGCTATAAGCTGAACATGTTCTTGTTTACCGGTAACAGGGTCTGCTATGAAGGAGAATTACTATGCTTAAGTGCAGTTGATCTACTGAAAGTGGAAAGTTACACTGAGAGAGCCAGAGTGGTACAGGGGTTAAGAGCACTGGACTAGGAGTCAGGAGATGTGGGTTCTTGCCCATACTCAGCCACGAAGCTTACTGACTCTCACGCTGGGCCAGTCACTGACTCTTGGCCAAACTGACCTCACAGGGCTGTTGTGGGGATAAAATGGAGGAAGAATGCTGCCTTAGGTTCTTCGGAGGGATAGGCAGGATTTAAATGCAAAACCCAAAAATGAAATAAATTGAGTAATTCCTCTACTTGCTTGGCTCCTTCCCCATTGCACATCATGCCACAGCTCTCTCGCACACTCCAAAATCTGTCCCACACTTCCCAATTCACAGCTTTTTCTTTTAATGTCCCGGTCAGCAAGGAATTATTGAGACAGGCCACACTGTGACTTGAGTAAAGGAAATAAAGATTCTGCAGTGTTAGCTCTCTGTTCAGTCTACAGGGGCTACTGAACGCCCCCCTCAGGCTAGCAGCAGCAAGAGCTCTAGTAGCATCCCCTTGTGCTTGGCAAAGCTCACCTGTATTTGCTTTGGCTTCGATCTGGATTGTAGTAACTTGTGTAAATGCATCTGTGATTTCCTCAGATGCCCAGTCATATTCAGCCTATTGTGCATGAAGGGGCTGACAAATGCATTTAAATATGATCACACATGAAAAATTTATGTGGGGGAAGGCACTTCATGTTGCCCATACTCTGGATGAAGCAAACCTTACTTCAGGGTGTCAAAAGTTAGGCTTTTAGCCCTCTGGGGTTTCCCAAACACCCTATCCCTTTTTCCCAACTCCACAGACAACTTGGTGCTTTTCTGGCCTTTGAGCTTTCTCCCCTCACACCACCATGCTTCTAAAAGGTTGAAATGTCTCTTCAAAGGCTTAATTAGCAGAAATAAGAGGTTTTTTCCCCCTATTTTTTTTAAACAGAAAACAACATAAATACAACATATCACAGCAATAATAATATAGCATAACAAAACACAATAATTAAAGAGTAAATAATAAAGTGCCCCCACCATCCCAGAGACCACTACCACCACCACTTAATTCACATAACAATTAATAATATATAATATACTTCAATTATATCCATGTCCCCTCCAGAAATTCATATAATCTTGCTTAGGTTTACAGCCTTTGCCTTCTATCAGTACTGCTTTTACAACATCTTCCAAAATTTCATTATATTTATTTGCTTTCATTAACCCTGTTTATATTATTTCTGTCATTAGTTTATCATTAATTATCATATTCCATATCTTATTATACCATTCATGCCTCTGCAAAACCCAATTCTGTTTCCACAGAAATGAGAGTTTTGAGCAAAAATATGCTTGTAGTTTTGGTCTCCCTTTTTTGTCTTTGGCCCCACCCATGACTAGACTGGGCCTCCCACGGTCTCCCCAGAAGTTGAATTTGACCCTCAGGTTGAAGGAGGTTCAAAACTCCAGCTTAATTACTACATGGAAAATAGGTGCTGAAGTGCAAAAGGAAAGAACTCTGAAAAAGCTGTCACGTCTCATGTGGGGTGTTTTAAGAAGGCCTCTGCTTGAGAAAATGCTTCTATGATCCCTAAGAAAAAGGTTTTCTCATCTTCCTCCTCCTCCTCTTTTTAAAGAAAACTTAATTTCTATGTTTTCTTTTAGCTAAAAGTGCAGCTCACGAAAGTGTACACATACAACATTCAACCAATAGAACGAAATACGCTTTAAATAAGTTCGAAGCAGCAAAATTGCAGCTACTATCAAACCACATCCTTCCTCGTATTCAAAAGCAAAAAAAAAACAACCAACAAAATCATGAAAGCAGAGGCAGAGTCACTCGCCAGGGTCCTGATAAGGGTCCCCAACATGAGGTAAATTTGCCCTTGGTGGTAACAGCCATCTCTCCCCTAAAGCAGGGCCTCCTAAGCTGCAGTGCCAGAAGACATATAATCTCTGGAAGACAGGCATGTGCACAGAGAATACAGAATAGCTTTCCCTTGAAGATACAAGGGATCTACATTTGTTGATTCTTGGGATCAAAGCTGTTTGCAATTGCAGGTATGCTACTGCACAAACATATCAGGAATGAGTCCCAGTGTGTTCACTGGGGCTTACTCCTAAGCAGACATTAGCAAGAGGGAATTGTAACTTGGTGCATCAAAACATCTCCTGTAGCCACTTTAATTTGATGTGACCAAGCCTGCAAAATATGCACCCAGAATTCTACAGCCTGGGCCTAGGCCAAAGCCTGACCAAAACTCACCACAGAATGAACTTGCAGAATGGAACCACCATATCCAATGCCAGGTCGATCAATAATAAATCTTCCCTCATCCATGACTTGATTGTGGATGAGGGGGCCGACCTGGCTTGCATAACGGAGACCTGGGCGGGAGAGGGAGGGGATGTTGCCCTCTCCCAGTTGTGCCCGCCCGGGTATCTGGTTCAACACTGTTCACGCCCAGAAGGGAGAGGAGGGGGAGTCGCGTTGGTTTACAGAGCCTCCATCTCTCTCACGGGTCTTCCGGTCCCTTTGAGACCAGGGCTGGAGTGCCTCTACTTGGTGTTGGGCGAACGAGACAGATTGGGGATTCTATTGGTGTACCGTGCACCTTTCTGCCCAGCAGTCTCCCTATCCGAGCTGACAGAGACCGTCTCGGATCTGGTGTTGAGGACCCCCAGGATGTTGGTCCTGGGGGACTTCAATCTCCATGCCGAGTCTGGACTGACCGGGGCGACTCAGGACTTCATGGCCTCTATGACGGCCATGGGCCTGTCTCAACACGTCACTGGCCCTACCCATGAACGTGGACACACTCTGGACCTGGTATTCACGACGGGGCAGGTAGAGGATGACCTGAGGGTGAAGAACTTATGTTTGACTCCCCTGTCATGGTCAGATCACCTCCTGGTGAGGTTTGTGCTCGAGAGCGGCCTCTCCCTCTATAAGAGTGCGGACCCGATTGTATGGGCCCGCCCCCGGAGCCGGATGGATCTGGATGGATTCCTGGGGGCCCTGGGGGAGTTTCCGGCAGACAAGACTGGTGCTCCTGTCGAGGCTCTGGTCGAACTGTGGAACGGAGAGATGACCAGGGCTGTGGACACGATCGCTCCTAAGCATCCTCTCCCACCGGGCAGAGTCCGCTCTTCCCCTTGGTATACACCTGAATTACGGGTGATGAAGCGAGCTGGGAGACGGCTAGAGCGTAGGTGGAGGAAATCACGGGATGAATCTGACCGAACACACTTGAGAGCCCACTATCGGGCCTATGCTGTGGCGGTGAAGGCGGCGAAAAAGAAGTTTTTTTCTGCTTCCATTGCCTCCTCACAATGCCGTCCAGCGGAGCTTTTTCGAGTGGTGCAAGGCCTGGTTCGGCTGGGTCCTAAGGAAGATCCGATGCCACCCTCAAAGGCCCGCTGTGACGACTTTGCCAGGCATTTCAGGGAGAAAATCGCTCAGATTCGTCACGAGCTGGACTCCACTAATGAATCAGAGGTCTCTGAGGAGTCGCCAATGCCACCGTCTGGTCCAAAATTACTGGAGGAATTTCAATTATTGCGGCCCAATGATGTGGACAAGGTGCTTGGAAGAGTACGTCCCACCACTTGCCTATTGGATCCTTGCCCGTCTTGGTTAATAAATAACTCCAAGCACGGGATTGGGACCTGGATCTTGGAAGTGGTTAACGCTTCTCTGAGGGAGGGTCGAGTGCCTGCCCCTTTAAAGGAGGCGGTAATACGACCGGTCCTGAAGAAAGCGTCACTGGATCCAGAGATGGCCACTAACTATAGACCTGTGGCCAACATCCCGTTTCTGGGCAAGGTGCTGGAGCGAGTGGTGGCGGGACAACTCCAAGCACTCTTGGAGGAAACTGATTATCTGGATCCTTTTCAGTCCGGCTTCAGACCCGGGTACAGTACTGAATCTGCCTTGGTCGCCCTGTACGACGACCTGTGCAGGGAGAAGGACAGGGGGAGTACATCCCTGTTGGTTCTTCTGGACCTCTCGGCGGCTTTCGATACCATCGACCATGGTATCCTTCTGGATAGACTTGCGGGATTGGGGGTTGGAGGCACTGCTTTGCAGTGGTTCCGCTCCTATCTCAACGGTCGATTCCAGAAGGTAGTGCTGGGGGACCATGTCTCTACGTCATGGCAGCTATGCCATGGGGTACCACAGGGCTCCATTCTATCCCCTCTGCTATTTAACATCTATATGAAACCGCTGGGAGAGGTCATCAGGAGGTGTGGGCTGCGGAATCATCAATACGCTGATGATACCCAGCTTTACCTCTCATTCTCCACTAATCCAGGTGAGGCAGTGGCTGTGCTGAACCGGTGCTTGGCCGAGGTAAGGGAATGGATGAGGGCCAATAAACTGAAACTCAACCCAGACAAGACGGAGGTCCTGTTGGTTGGCGGATCGGGTTTCGGAGAGGGTGGATTTGACCTGGTCCTGAATGGTGCAACACTCCCTCTTAGGGATAAGGTCCGCAGCTTAGGAGTACTCCTCGACCCGGAGCTTTCTTTGGAAGCTCAGGTGACAGCGGTAGCAAGGAACGCCTTCCTTCAGCTTCGGCTGATTAATCAGCTGCGCCCCTACCTGGAATACGACTGCCTGGCGACGGTGACACACGCGCTGGTAACTTCCCGCCTAGACTTCTGTAACGCGCTTTACGTGGGGCTTCCCCTGAAGACAGTCCGAACACTTCAATTGGTGCAAAATAGAGCTGCCAGGTTGCTGACGGGGACGGGGCGTTATGCTCACATGACTCCAGTCCTCCATCAGCTTCACTGGCTTCCCATTGAAGCCCGGGCCCAATTCAAGGTGTTGATTATGACCTACAAAGCCCTAAACGGCTTGGGTCCTGGCTACCTGAACGAGCGCTTACGTCCGTATATGCCCGACCGCCCTTTGAGATCTGTGGGAGAGTCCCTTCTCCGGGAACCCTCCATGAAAGAAATTAGGAGAGTAAGTACCCGGAGGAGGGCTTTCTCTGCGGTGGCGCCCAACCTATGGAATTCACTCCCCAAAGAGGTCCGCCTGGCACCGTCGTTACTGGTTTTTCGGCGCCAGGTAAAGACCTTTTTATTTAAACATCATTTCAATTGTTAAAACATATGATCTGGCCTGGGCAACTTCTTCTTCCTTCTCTTTCTCCTCCTATATTTTTATTTTATACTGATAATTTTAATTTTGTATTTGTAAATCAATGTATTTTTTGTATTGTTATATTTAATGGTAATTTATTATGTACTATTGTATTTCAATGTATTTTATCATGTTGTAAGCCGCCCCGAGGTTTCGGCAAGGGGCGGCATAGAAATGTTATAATAATAATAATAATAATAATAATAATAATAATAATAATAATAATATCCAACTGAAGGTAGAATGTGTAAAAATGTGATTGCATTTTTATAAAACATACTTCCCTATCAATAGAAAACTAGCATAACAGGAGTGGATTGATTTAGAACTGTGCTATCAAATGAGCTAGGTTCTGATTTGCTGGAAATTTTTACATTTGGGAGTTTTTCTTAAGTCACTTCTCACCTGCCTCCCAATTCCCTCTATATTTGTTTAGTCACACTACCATAACAGGTTTCCATCACCTGATATTCACTGTATCTGTAAACCAGGCCACATTCACTCATTCAGTGGAATTTACTTCCAAGAAAGTAAACTTAGAATCATTGTCTCAGTGAAGAGCAAAGAAAGACATGGGCATTTCAGGGCAAGTTACAAAACACATTGGGACATACCTGCACAAGAGGCAAAGTTGGAAACAATTCTGTGGGAGATATTGGCTTGACAATTTCCTAGAAAATCACAAACATGTTTAGTAGCTCATACAAACAAGAGCTAAGTAGCCATATTTAATATATACAGCAAGTAAAAATCAAGTGTTTTTATACACTTTGCTGCACAGGTGGGAAAAATGAGTTAGACTAAATTACACAGTTTATAAATAATAGGTTACCTTAGAATTTGTTGTGAAGTCATACAGAATGCAAAACTATTAGATTCATTAAATTTAATTGGGCTTGCTCCCAGGTAAGTGGGCATACAACTACAGCCTTAGGGTGCAATCTGATATACATTTAGAAGTATACAATTGAGAGCCAGTGTTGTGTGATGGTTTGAGCGATGGACTGGGACCTGGGACATCCAGGTTCTACTCCCCACTTGGCTATGAAGCTCATTGGGTGACTTTATGCCAGTCACTCACTCTCAGCATAACCTACTTCACAGGATTGTTCTTGTGAGGATAAAATGGAGCCATTTAAGCTGCCTTGGGTTCCTCACAAGAGGAAATAAAGGTGGAATATAAATGCCAAATAGCAACAGGCCTACAATTCCTAGCATGGCCCAGCAAGTCTGACTGGGGAATGCTGGGAATTGTAGACTATTTTCTCCTATTAAACATGCATAAGACTGCATCCTTAATCTGTTTTTGGTTTCTAATATTCTGTTCATGTAAACAGGCAATTACAGCCTATTTCCCAACCAGATTTCCACAAGATGCTTTGGAGTACAACACCCACGATTCCCGACCAGAGGCCATGCTGGTTGGAGCTGATGGGAATATCCAAATCATCAGGTGGGCACCTGGTTGGCTTTCTCAAGAAAATGGTAGAACATTACCTCTTTAAAAGACATTTTAATATCTATTAGTCACTACTTAACCCTCCGGTTGTATTATTTTAATATAATTTTATTAGGTTTTATGTTTCTATTAACTTATGCCATTGTTTTATTGTTCTATAATGTATTTTAATTATTGGATGTTAGCTGCTTAGAGAACCCATGGGCAAAATAGGTGGCATATATCTTCTCATATCTGGAAAGCACTTTATCTTCCATTCCATTCAGAAATACAGCCAGAATTAAGTGTATGTGTTATTGCTACTTCTGACCAAAGGCAGTAACAGCCATTTACTTGTCCATCCCTCATGTATGTATGTATGTATGTATGTATGTATGTATGTATGTATCTACTGCAAGCATTTATATCCCGTATTCCCTGAGCACATGAGGGCTGGGGCAGACTCTGCCTCCTAATGTCCATGTCCCCTATATGAACTAAGATGGGCCTGTGGTCCTTTTCTTTGCAAGCCACCTTCATTTCACCAGAGCTGTGGAATCGATGCGTGTGAAAGAACTTTCCCATTGTGATCAATGGAAAACGTTCAAGGATCCCCATTCAGAAAGATACGAGAGGAAAGGAGAATGAACAACATCCACAATTACAGCAAGGGACTGCGGCTTGCTAACACAGTGTTGTTGTGAAGGAACCTCTGTGACTCAATGCAAGAAGGCTCACAGTGCACATTCCCATATGCACATTCAGTATATGTTGGGAATGGAGTGGAGTGTGTTTTCTTAGCCAATCTGTGCTGGTGTGTATGGGGGTTTGAGTGTGGGGAGGTAGTTGTATTTCATTATTTAACATTAGGAAAATTATCTTATTAAGTAAATTTGTTTGATTTTGTATTGCTCTGGTGTTAATATTCTGTAGGAATTTGCTATGAGTACAGTATTGTATTCATATTGATTTTGTATTTTTGCTATTGCAATTTTGTGATTATATTACTGTATTTTGTATCTTGCTTTGCTCTAAGCTGCCCAGAGAGCACTATGGGCTAGGAGCAGCATGCAAATATAATAAATCATATCCAAGATCTGTACAAATTTGATGACATGATTGCTAAGACACAATCTTCCCATCACATTTGTGAGGTTGAATATACTTTTTATTTTTTAATTCAGCAATGCATTAAAATTATCTGCTTTGCTATATGCATTTGTGATGCAGCCCTTGAAAATGAAGGAGTGTACATTTCCCTTACAGAATGTGTGCTAGATCCTTTCTTCTGGTGTTACAAGACCTGTTTCTTTTTATAGAAAGAAAGTGCAAGAAACACACTTCCCCACGAATGAGGCTTCTACACTGTTCACAATACTGTTGTTGTATTGGAACCAGTGTATTATATTGTTACAGTGAAGGTAATGCCCGCAATGTACAGTCACCACTGCTTGTATGAACCTTGTCATCAGCATTTTCAACTTAGCACTTGACTACATCATCCCCAGACAAAGAAGAAGGATGAGATGCTTATACAGGCTGGTTGGCACATGTCTGCAGAGTGATAGGTTGGGAAGTGGCCCTACATTCAAATTTCACAAGAAGCCTTACCTTTTTCTTTTCTTCATAATCTATGATATAATTGATTGCTACTGTTGAATAGCCCACTAAAAAAAACACATACACACACAAAATAAAATACATTAAGTGGATAATGCCACTCAGCAAGCACATAATCAGGAATATTTGTGGGGAATGAAGCCTTCATATTCTGGGAGAGAGCACTGACATCTTTCCTTACTGTGAACTTCCCAAAGTCATTTGGCTGGTGCTGGACAAAATGAGAAAAAATGCTAGACTAGATGGAATTTTGGCCTGCTCCTGCACTTGCATCAGGAGCTACTGTATGTAAATTAGATGGCTATTTGCTTTCCAGAGGTTTTGGATTATGACTCTCAGCATTTGTAACCATGGACATTGTCAAATATAAAAAGTATGGCGCACAATTTTAGGACCAAATATTTCAAGACTGGAAACAGAATTCCTGACACATTTAAAATAATGTGTTTATTTCTTGCATATCAGGATTATATAATTTTAAACATACATATAAGAATTAGATATCTCTGTAACCAAGAAAAACCTGAAAAATATTATGTAAATGCACATGTACTAGAGAATGTTATTCGGTCTAGTTGCAAAAGTCGGTATCAGTAAAAAAGGGACAGAAACAAAGTATTTCTTAATGTATCCCTAAAAACATTCTGCATGTAAAAAGAACCCAGAGTACACTCCCCCATCCTTCCTATGTTGCCTGTCTATGAAGCTGCATCAGCAAACATTCATATCCTGAAATGGCAGCTTAAGATTGATAGGCAGTTGGTCAAGGATCATCTAATTGGGTTGATGAGTTCAAATCTCCAGAGCCTGATGAACTCCATACTAAAGTCATAAAGGAGGAGGCAGAAGAACTCTCAGAACCACTGTCCATTACCTTTGAGAAATCATGGAGGACTGGGGAAATGTCAGATAAGTGTAAAGGGGCAAATGTTGTCCCCATCTTCAAGAAAGTAAAAAAAGAACAATCTGGAACTACAGACCAGTCAGATTGACATCAATCCCTGGGAAAATTCTGGAGCAGATTATAGAGCAGTTAGTCCACAAATATCTTGAAAACAATGCAGTGACTACTAGAGAAATCCATGTTGGCTTCAAAGACAAATCCTGCCAGACTAATCTGATTTCATTTTTTGACTGGGTAACATTCCTGATGGACTGTGGAAATGCTGTGGACATAATCAATCTAGACTTTAGCAAAGCCTTTGAGAAAGTGTCCCATGATATCCCCATTGAGCAAACTAGCTAAAAGTGGGCTAGGTGGAACAACTACCAGGTGGCTCCACAGTTGGCTGAAGAACCAGACTCAAAGAGTGCTCATCAACGGCACTTTCCCAAACTCAGAAGAAGTAACAAGTGGGGTACCATGGAGTTCAGTCCTGGGTCAGTGCTCTTCAACAGTTTTATTAATGATTTGGATAAGGAAGTGCAGGGAGTGATTATCAAATTTACAAACTGGGAGGGACAGCTAATATCCTGAAAGCCAGAAAGAAGATTTGAGGTGATCTCGATAGGTTAGAGCACTGGGTCCAAAATTCAACAGAATGAAACTCAATAGAGACAAAGAAGCCACATGTACCATTACAAGATGGGTAATACTTGGTTCAACAATACTACAAGTGGGAATGATTTTGAAATTGTTGTAGATCACAAGCTGAAGATGAACCAACAATGTGATTAAGCTGCAAAAAAGGGCAGATGCTATTTTCAGCAGTGTTAATATCACTTCCAAATCCCACGAAGTACTAGTTCCCCTTTACTCAGCACCGGTTAGGTCTCATCTGGAGTACTGTGTCCAGTTATGGGCACCACAGTTTAAGAAAGATGCAGGCAAGCTGGAAAGGGTCCAGAGATGGGCATCAAGGATGATTCAGGGACTGGAAACAAAGCCCTACTGATATTGAGTTTGATAGAATTAGGCATGCTTAGCTTCCAGAAGGGAAGACTGATGGGATATATGATAGCACCCTACAAGGACGTGAAAGGCTGCCACAAAGAGAAACTCATCCCAGAGTTTAAAACATGTAATAATAGGCTCAAATTGCAGGAAGCCAGATTCCATCTACGTATCAGGAAAACTTTCCTTACTGTTAGAGCAGAACAACAATTGAACCAATGACATAGAGAGATTGTGCGCTGCCCCATACTAGAGGCATTCAAGAAGCAACTGGACAGCCATCTGAGAGGGATGGTTTAACTTGGAGTCCTGCACTGAGCAGGAGGCTGGACCCAATGGCCCTCTGACCCCTTCCAGCTCTATTATTCTATGAGTCTTCACTTATATTAAGTAGACAACAGCCACCCTTCTTCTGATGGCAATCAGCTATTTACAAAAACCAGTGTAACAGCTGTCGTCCCCTGAGAATCTGCAGAGTACAATCGAGGCTAGGGAAGGACATTTAGGTCAAACTAATTCAATTCTAACGGGTTGTTAGCAGCAGCAGCATATAACTTAATACTTATGCAGCAATTTGCAATATTCAAAATGCTCCACAGACAACATTTCATCTTGTCAGATAGACCAGTATTAAGGTCCCCATATTGCAGACAGGACTAACACTCTATAGATCTGATGAGATGACCTACAAAGCCTCTGAAAGCTAACATTCCACTAAATGCGTTCGTCTTTAAAACGCCACAAGACACTTCGTATTTTTAGCAACCCCGCCGCCACTTTGGATGGGAAGTCACTTCAATTAACAACAGAGGAAACCAGCGACCTCTCGGATGCGCTAATGACTCTAGAGTTAAGAGGGCGATTGCCAGCCATCTCCACTCTCAGCCCGGCCGAAAAGGCTCGGGACTTCCTGGGAGGCCCCCGCACCCACTTGATGCTTTGCACGCGGACCGGGCAACCGCTTCAGACTCACGGTGAGCGGCAGTCTCCACCAACTTCCGTAGCCACTCCTTCTCCGGTAAGTGGGGAATGTTCAAATCCACAAATCCAGCCATGTTGAAACCACGTGCGGAAATTCCGGAAATGGGAAAGGATAGGCTCTTACGCGTTTTCGTTCCGCTGCATGCTGGGAAGTGTAGTTCGCTCAGTAGTTGCGGGAATGGACCTGCCTAGCCGGCGACGGCGCACGAGTGGTGATTAGAGCCGTGAGTTAGGTTTTAAAGAAGTAACGGCGTGATCTTGAGTGTGTTGAGACATAATAAAATCTTACAAGGCTTAGTATTTCTGGTTGGGGAATGCTGGGAATTGTATGACAGAAAGACGTCCCACGATTATACTCCTAAAAAATAAGCATAAAAAATAAACGGGTGGTTGTATATTGGTGCAATGGTGCAGCAAGGACCTGATCTTGGAACCAAAGTCAAGCTCCCCGCACACAGACACGAAATTTTCACCCAAAGAGCGGGAGGTGCAGGAGCAAACTCTAGTTTACACGTAGAAGCAGTCAAGCTGCCTATGGGAAACCCAGAACAACTGGTTTACACAGATATACTGCTGTTGCTATTGGAGTAGCATCAGACTGACTAGTAACCATTGATAGACTTTTGCATGAATTTGTCCAATCCGCTTTTCATGCTGTCCGAATAGATGACCGCTTCTACACCATGTGAAAGTGATTTCCATAGCTTAACTACGTGCTCTGTTGAAGAAGGACTTGCTTTTATCAGTCCTGAATCCCCCCCACCATTCACTTTTATGGGATGACCTTGGGATTCTAGCATTTTATTTCCCTATTCAATGCGGTGCTATTTTCTAAAGGATTTTAAAATTCAAAATTGCACATACACAAAGTGTGTGTGTGTTTGAAGAACAGGCAATAGTTTATTGTTCTAACATATAAGAATGTAAAAGCAATTTTAAACGATTGAACAGCAGTGAGCAGCTGATTTTGCTAGAGCATGCTAGAGCAATGCTAAAGTAAAGTGATACATGTAACAAGAATGTAATACTGTACTGTACAAAGTACTGTATTACATGTATGGTGCCTTTTGCTTCTGCCTCATCAGTCCCCAAGGTGGTTTTCCTGTTTTTGCCAGTTCCCAGCTGTGGAAAGTTTGAAAACCACTGGTTTACAGGAGCCGAACTCTGGCACTAAAGTCACTGCTACCCATCTTTACTTTCCTGGGACTGATAAGATCACCAAGAATTGCAGTGTCTCAGTACTTCAGAACAGGGGCTGACCTTCTGCAACCTATTTATTTAAAGTACCTTCCATAAGGCTACATTTCTTTCTTCCAATCTTACCCATTCCTTAAGCAGCTGGCTAATCATGTCTGGTGACCTGGCCACATTCTCTCTCCCTTTCATTCCCTCTCTCTCACACACACCCACCCACTGTATGTATCTCGGGGAAAGATACAACAGCAGCTTTCCTCATCTTTGTGTTGCTGCAGCCCATGCAAACAAAACAACCCCAGATGGTGCTTTTGCCTTTGGGAAGACCAGATACTTGTTTCTCTGGAACACTTTCTTGATAATGATTGAGACTGATTTTCAGCATGGAAAAACCCTTTCTTCCCTCCTGACCAAAGAAAACCCAGAAGCATAACACAAATTATGACTTCTTGGTGTGACACACTGTGGCTCATGGAGTTGCTTAAGAGGCTTGCAGTAGCAATGCATCAGAGCCAGGATGGCCTAATGCTGGGTTGGGAGGTCGGAAATTAAATCCTGGTTATGGGCTCATTTTTTAAGCAGCCTTTGATGTTGTTAGTCACAAAGTCGTGTCCGACCCATCGCGACCCCATGAACAACATTCCTCCAGGCCTTCCTGTTCTCCACTATCCCCCAGAGTCCACCTAAGCTCATGCCGACTGCCTCAGTGACTCCATCCAGCCACCTCATTCTCTGCCGTCCCCTTCTTCTTTTGCCATCTATTGTTCCCAGCATTAGGCTCTTCTCCAGGGAGTCCTTCCTTCTCATTAGGTGGCCAAAGTATTTGAGTTTCATCTTCACGATCTGGCCTTCTAAAGCGCAGTCAGGGTTGATCTCCTCTAGGACTGACTGGTTTGATCGCCTTGCTGTCCAAGGGACTCGCAGGAGTCTCCTCCAGCACCACAATTCAAAGGCCTCAATTCTTCGGCGCTCAGCCTTCCTTATGGTCCAGCTTTCACAGCCATACATTGCAACTGGGAAAACCATAGCCTTGACTATACGCACTTTTGTCGGCAGGGTGATGTCTCTGCTTTTTAGTATGCTGTCTAGATGTGCTATAGCTTTCCTCCCCAGGAGCAAGCGTGTTTTAATTTCTTGGTTGCAGTCCCCATTTGCGGTGATCTTGGAACCCAGGAAAATAAAATCTGTCAATACCTCCATTTCTTCCCCAACTATTTGCCAAGAAGTGAGAGGACTTGATGCCATGATCTTAGTTTTCTTAATGTTGAGTTTCAAGCCAACTTTTGCACTCTCCTCCTTCACCCGCATCAAGAGGCTCTTTAGTTCCTCTTCACTTTCTGCCATGAGAGTGGTATCATCTGCATATCTGAGGTTGTTGATATTTCTCCCAGCAATCTTAATTCCAACTGGTGATTCTTCTAGGCCCGCCTTTCTCATGATGTGCTCTGCATATAAGTTAAATAGGCAGGGTGACAGTATATAGCCTTGTCAAACTCCTTTCTCAATTTTTAACCACTCAGTGGTTCCATGTCCAGTTCTCACTGTTGCTTCTTGACCTGCATACAGGTTTCTCAAGAGACAAATAAGATGGTGTGGTACTCCCATCTCTTTAAGAACTTGCCACAATTTGTTGTGATCCACACAATCAAAGGCTTTAGCATAGTCCATGAAGCAGAAGTAGATGTTTTTCTGGAACTCCCTAGCTTTCTCCATGATCCAGCGTATGTTGGCAATTTGATCTCTAGTTCCTCTGCCTCTTCGAAATCCTACCTGTACTTCTGGTAGTTCTCTGTCCACATACTGCTGGAGCCTAGCTTGTAGGATTTTGAGCACATTTCCCCGTCCTTTTAAGGTATGGGTGGGAGTTAATTGCTTGAGCTTTTTTTTCCAACAACCCATTTAAATGTTCTATCAATCCAGAGGCCTGGGGATGATGATGGATATGATAGACCCGCTGGATGTTCCATTCATTTGCCCAGTCCTTCACCTCCCCCGCTAGGAAATGGTGAACATTGTCACTTTGAATTTGAAGGGGTACTCCATACCTTCTGAGTAAAATACCCAACCCTTTTATAGTGCTCTGTTGTGTTGCTCTAGCACATGGGTAGGTTAAAAGATAACCAGAATAGATACCTGCCATGGTGAGCAGGTAGTGCCATCTTCCACACTTGGGTAGAGGTCCAATGTAATCTACTTGCCAGATCTGCCCAGGCCCATCTCCCCCCACCCCCCATGTAATCTTCCCGTGGGAGTTTGTCTGTGCACACAACTGACAGTTGGCACCCACGGTAGCAGCTGCATCCACTGAACATGGGATGCCTCGCCTTATTGCCCGTTCCCTCATGGCTTTGGCACCCAAATGTCCACCTTTTTCATGAGCCCACCGACCGAAGACTAGCACTCTTCCATCTCCTGGTCTTGATGAGGTGCAACCACCCGCACTTTAGCTGGCCGATTTGCAGCTTGATTATACAGGGCTTCAGGTGTCCCTGACATGTGCCCATCCACATGCCCAGCATACACATTCAGCTTCAGGAGCATCTGATCCAATGGCATCCGGAGCTCCTGTCCCCATAATGGCTGATTATGGATACAAAACCCACCTATTTTCCATTTAGGGAACCAGACTGTCAATCTTTTATATGCAGCCCATGAATCAGTGTAAATATACACAGCATCTGCTTTTTGCTCCACGGCATGCTCAGTAATCATTAGCATTGCCATCAGTTCAGCATACTGGCTGGACTTGCCTTTCCCTGCATGGGTTAAAGTGATCTGCTTCCGTGGATTAATGGCAGCTGCATGCCATGCCCTCTCATTTCCCTGATACCCAGGAGACCCATCTGTAAACCAAACTTCATTATGGGACACCTGCTCATCGGGAGGGGCCTCTTGCACTGGAGACTTTTCAAGTTCCACAACAGAACTGTCCTGCATTTCTTCTCCAGTGGGTGTCACAGCCAGGACTTGCTCCTGCAGTGCACTGACCCCTTGCGGTCCAGCTTTGGCCCTTTCTGCAATGTACCATTTCCAGTTAACAGTGGAGGATTGCTCAGCTCTCCCCACCCTGGGGCTTGCAGACTCATCTTTTACCCAAGTCATGATTGGTATGGCAGGTCTCAATACCACAGGATCCTGTCCTGTCCATCTTTCTGTATCAACCAAAGCCCAATAACATGCTAAACGTTGTTTTTCAAAAGGTGTATAATTAACATTGGGTAACTTACGGGACCAGAACCCTAAAGGAACTCTTTTTTCCTTGGGTCCTTTTTGCCACAAACTCCATAAAGCTGTCTCTTCATTCGTGGAGATCTGTAACTCAAAAGGTTGCCCTTTAACATAAGGTCCTAGAGGCATTGCCGCAGCTACTACAGCTTTAGCATCAGACAATGCCTTATCATACAATTCTCCCCACTCAGACGGAGCCTTTTTGCGTGTTACATGGTAAACAGGTCTGAGTATTTGAGCTAAGTGAGGTATATGTTGCCTCCAATACCCCATTAGTCCCACCAGACGTTGAGCCTCAGTTTTTGAGGTAGGGGCTTTTAAAGTAGCAATCACATTCAAAACTTTTCAGGTATGTGCCACACCAGTCCTGCCCAAACCACCCCTAGGAATTGCACTTGAGCAGGTCCCTGAATCTTTTTTGGATTAATTTCCCATCCTCGGGACCGCATGTGTTCAATTACTGTAGTCAGTCCCTGCTGTGCTTCTTCCTCTGTAGGTCCTGACACCAAAATGTCGTCAATATAATGAGCTATAAACAAAGCAGGGCTCAATGTAATCTGTTCCAGGTCCCTTGCCACTATTCCATGACACAAAATAGGGCTATGCACATAATCTTGTGGGACAACCTGAAATGTGTACTGCCTTCCCTCCCAAGTGAATGCAAACTGATCTTGGGAGTCCTGATCAATCA